TTCCGATCTGACATATGTCAGTTCGGAATGGACATAGATTCCGATCTGACATAAATTCCTATCTGACATACAACAGTATCATTCATTTTCCTCTAACTTATCCAACCAATATAAATCATGTGCTTTGTCCATTATGGCATTTCCTTCAACTCCTGTTGGCCACCTTATGTCTGGGTTCATCTTAGATGTATAGCGATCCTTTCCATGTTCTCCAGCCCAATCAAAATCTATTAGCATCCCATGGCAACCTTTATCACTGTTCATTACCATTATATTTGATTTGCGAAGATCTCCAAACACAATATCCTTACAATGTAGAATATGAATAGCCTTGCTAACACTTTTCAAAACATTGTCATATTCCGTTTTATCAATCTGTAGAGTATTAAGTGTCTCACCTTCAATATATTCCATTATTATCATATACCATCCCCCAAACTTTTCTTTGCTAACATAAAAAAGCCTTGGGGCAAGTCCTTCCTGAGCACACAGATTATGTGCATAAGTATTGTATCTCTGACTGAACTTGATGACAATGGGGTAACCATCAGTAGTTTTTCCCTTAAATATGGTTTTTTTAGAGTCTTCTGTTAAATAATCTTCATATGTAAAGTGTATCACAGTGTTACTTTCTGTAACATATTGATGTGGATATGGATATAGTGGCTGAGTAGTATTGTTATAGACAATACTCAGTGTTTGGTAATAATTATCTAAGTATTGAGCTGTAAGACGTATAGCTTCAAAAAGTCGTGCAATGCGGTGCAAATGTCTCTCATCATGAATAGGTATCAATGGAATGAAATCTGTAATTGGACTAATCACAGGTTTAGTGGTATAAATCCCCCCCCCAGAACACAAACCCATGGTCCAGCAATAGCAAGAAGCAAAGATGGACAACAACATGATGCCCGAACATGTTTACGCTATGTCAAGACACAATCATTAGTCAATAATTTACAAATTACAAACTGCATATGTTCAATTATAAAAACATACCTGTGGTTGTGCCCAGTATTTTGCATATGATAAAGCTGCCTGGATTGTTGGGTCACTTCTTCCTCTACCTATTTCATTTTTCATTTCAAGAATGACCCGAAATCCAATTTGACCAGATGTGGTAATTGTTTGTAAAATTCCATCACTCTTTGATTTATCTTCATTCTCAACTATGGAGAACTGACCAGTAAGTGATGTCATATGATCATGAAATGCTTGCAAACGTAAATCTTTTACATCATAGACCTTTGCCATGATTTCAATAAGTTCAATCGTCCATGCACAATGACCTGTCCGTAATTCAAGCTCTTCGTTGGTGTAGTCTTCTAGAAACTTTGAAAAAATTTCGTGATATAGGAAAATCGGGGGACCAACACAATGGGGGGGTCGATGATTCAAAATAACGGTGTTCTGTTGCATTTTCAGAAATTCACGATGCTCAGCAACTGATGATGGACTGTCTAGTTTAAGGACTTTCGTTATATTCTCGTGTTCTATAAGAAGTAGATATGTTATACCAAATTAGTAACATTCCATCAATAATAAAGCAAATTTTTGAAAGCCTTGTTCGGGTAAATCGAATACAAAAGTTTATTACAGAAAAATTATACATACGTTCTTCCAATGGTCTTTTCACTTTACCAAGCTGGCTGGTGACTTGCGGACGTGCATATTGATCTGTGAAGATGTGGAACAATAAGTCTACAATGTACACACTACTCTACGTCCCCAACGCCCGAGTCACAAAGTCGTTACCTGGTTGAGTATCTAGTTCGCGAAGCTTCTTTCCCCATTCGCCCACTTGCTTGCCCCAGTAGTCCCTTCTCTCCTCCAGCTGCTTCTTCTCTTCCGCGAGATCTTTTTCTCTCCTCTCCCACCTTCTCTGCTGCGCCTCTGTTCCTTCTTCCTTCCGCAACTTCGTTCTTAAATCGTTTAACCACTTCCCTCTGTTATCGTCTCCCTCGAATGCCGTCACCGCAGCCTTCGCCTCCGCTTCTTTCGCCTCCGCTTTTCTCAACTCTTGTCTGATTTCTTCGATGCTTGCCATTTCTTCTTTCGTTAGTAGTAAGAGAAGATGTGTGCTGCGCGCGATGTGATCTAATACCGTAATTATAATATACTAGTGGCTTAATCAATGACGTAATTATTACGAAATTTCATCATTACTGTGATTGTCCATTATATGCAGAATGACCAATGATAATTGATGCGCAGCAACGCGCATTTGTCTATTTAAGCATCATCGCAAGATTTATTATAGAAGCAAGCACTAGTCGCTTACTTTCAGAAAAGCAACCACAACGCAATAAACTTCATAAACAAAACATATCAAACAATTCTATAAATAACGCTTTGCGAAAAATGTTTACATTCACAAACGAATTCTTTTTTGGAGTATTTATTGGCTTCGCTCTCGGCCTGTTGCTAAATGCCATACTTTGTAATGGTCGGCCTAAC